GCCATACCCTTCGTTTTCTTCTTCCAAACCCTCACGTTCACAATTTCTCCAAACTACTTTCCTTTCCAGGTCATTGTCGGCACACATTGTTGTGTGCCTCTAAGTGCCAACCGCTGCCTACAAGGCCCCAACATGAGAGTCCTGACCTCTGTCAATACAACTCGGACGAGTTCACTGAAGAAACCCATTCTACAAACTCACTTCGCAATCCTGTTTTACGAATACTTCCCGAATGTGCAACATTATGCTGCCACCATCTCTCTCTCTCTCTCTCTCTCTCCCTCCCCCCCGCCAACTCCCCTCCCTACATTTCGTTCTTGTCCGTTTCTGTCCTTCATTCCCTTGGTCACAACTGCAGGTCTGACTATACCAGAGCAGAATAGGCACAAACGGCAACCATCATAAGCCTTCATGATCCTCATGAAGGCCCACTGAAATCACATGGCCCTTCTTTCATGAAGGTCCTACTTGTGCTTCAGAAGCACGACCCTGGATAATATCATGGCCACATTCATGCTTTGCTGACATGAGCATAGCACCAGTGCGGCCTGGCCCAAATTCCTGAGGTGTCAACATCAAGATTCCGAAGGCTCCGAACTGTGCCGAAAACTTTGCTTCTGCGTAGTCTCCCATCCACCCCTATTCAGCGAAAAGAGGTGGCAACTGGGAGTGCACTGGGGCTAAAGCGAAATTCTGCCACACCATCAACCCAACTTAAACCACCCTCCGCATGCCCCTCACCCCACCCTCTCCTCCCCAGGTGCTCATCCCTTGAATATCTGCCCCCCCCAAATGCACCTTCACCTGTTCCGGGGGAAAGAAGTGACAGCCAGCACTTCACTCGGACGTGGCGTCAATCCCCTAACCGTCAGAAGGGTAAACCCTCTCAATGGCAGCCCTCCAACCTCTCTGACTCCTCCTGCAGAGCATTATCTGCACCTCCAATAGACCTACACCCCTGGCATTTAGCAGATCATTGGGGCGCGGAGTCAACACTCTCACTGCCAAAGGGGACGTAGCGTCAACCCCCTAACTGCCAAAGCGTAAACCCTCTCGATGCCAGCCCTCCAACCTCTCTGAGTCCTTCTGCAGAGCATTATCTGCACCTCCCATGGACCTACACCCCTGGCATTTCGCAGATCACTGGGGCGCAGTATCAACACTCCCAGTGCCAAAGGATCAACCCTCACACTGCCACCCTTGGGAGCCTCCCATAGGCATGTGCCCCGCTAGCAGCTAGCAGTTCATTTTGATGGGGGGGGGGGTTAGTGTCCACCATGATGCCAAAGGGTCAACCTTCTCGATGCGATCCCTCCACCCTCTCTCAGTCCTCCCGGGGAGCATTCCCCCGTCGATCCGTACACCTCAGCCCCTGAGAATAAATCCCCCGCTTGAAAACCTCAACTTCACTAAAGATGCCTTCTTGTCATGCCTCCTCAGGTTTGACGAAGACATTCCTTCCCTGTCTGACCAAGGTTCTTCTCTCATGTTTCTGGTCGCTTCTGAACTCTACCGCGCATTCCTTCTCTAGACGAACATACTTTTTTCTCCCTCATTCGTGTTTCTGTTCATTCGAGGGTCCCTTCTACACCCTCCTGCTTGGTAGACCTCCCCTCCGATGGTCATTTCCTTCTCCACCTCATCGAGGTTCCCTATCATTCCTGCTTCGCCTCAGCAACGGCTCCGGCTCCACCCATCCTCTACCACCACCTCCTATGCTCTATGCCTCAGGAAACCACCTCTCTTGTTAAGGGTCCCTTCTACGTGCTCCTGCTTGATAAAACCTTTCCCCTTACGGTCTCCCTTCTCCACCTCGTCGACATTCCCTACCATTCCTCAGTCCCCTCAGCAAAGGCTTCTGCTGCACCCCTCCTCTCCCACCACTCTTCTATGCTCTATGCGTCAGCAAACCACCTCTCTCCTTTTCTCTATGCCTCCGCAAAGCACCTCTCCCATTTGCTCGATGCCTCAGCGACGCTCCTACCGCCGCCCCACCTGCCTCTCCATCCTCATCAAGTTCCTTTAATCAAACTGCTGTTCCTATTCCTCCCCCGTACCGCCAACCCCACCACCACAAACACACAAATGGCCACTGGTCTTGCCCCCCCCTGTCCTCGTGACCTTCTACAAGACAGTCAAAAGAAGGCAAAGCCAACCAACACCAACACATGAGTGTCACACAAGAAACATTGTGAGACTTCTACCGGAATCTATCCTTCATTTCTGCAGTCGACCAGCTGCAAGTGCCGCAAAGGAATTGAACCCGCAACCTGCAGATCCTTTCATGTTTCCATCATCATTGCTTGGTGCCTCGTTCGAGGGCAGCCATCGCTCTGCTGCAAAGTTTGAAAAATAAGTTTGCCGGAAGGCCCGAAACTCCGTTACAACCACCACATCACCTGCCCATCCCCCCCACGTCGCCATCACCGCTCAATGCTCTGTCAGAATCTGGTCATCATTCCTCCAAAACATTCGCCTGCCCAGACCATATATCGCCAACGTTACCCTACCCAATCCTCCGACATATCCCGAATTCCAAACGAGAAGGAGAGAGAGGACGAAGCACACAAACCTGGGGTGTAGGAGCTGCTGACAAGTGCGAAAAGACTCCAACAACCCAGCGCATGTCTTAATCATACAAAGATGTCACATTCTTCCGCTCGTCAAGAAACAAGCACCCGAAGATAGTGTTATAGAACTCCTTCGGATCGATGATCGCTCCGTCGCTCAATCGCGTCATCTCAAAAGTGAACCCCCTCGTGCAGTCTGGACAATAAGTCACCTGCCACGATCAACAGTCGATGATCAATGATCAGCGTCATTCACAGGGTCATCTGCCTCATCATCAGAGCAACAAGCAATCCACAACGTTCACCATTACACACACACAAGCAATCTACCTGCAAAGCAAGGTCACCCGCTTGCAGTTCAAACGATGGCCAATCCATCATCAAAGCGAGATCATAGAATTGCAGTTCGAGGGGTCAAACGGATCGGGCCCGCGACAGGAACTTGGCCCTTGGGAGGTTAAAATCGCTTTCAGCTAGCCAAGAGGGGGACGGGAGGGAAGACGGTAGAGAGCGAGAGGAAAGAAGAGGAAAACATAGGTCCTCGAGGGGTTAATTGCTTTCAGCTAGCCAAGAATGGGTGTCGCAGAGGGAAGGATGGAAAGGTGGAGCATCAAGAAGGTGGGGGAAGGACTTCGCCAGGCTCAAATTATGACGAAACTCTGAAAAACAGGTCCTGTAGGGCAAGCGTGTCGGACAGAAAATGCAAGAAATGCAAACAAGCACTCCAAACAAACCTGGCAAAAGACAAAAACGTTCTACCACTACCACCAAGGCCTGGTGTACGACAGATGTACGATAGGGCAATGGATCAAATAAACCAGTAAATAGGACCAACGGGCCTAGCTCAGTTGGTACACTCATGAACTGCTGAAATGCGGACCAGAGTTCGAGCCTGACATGAAATGCAAGAGACGAGTGGCAGACACTGAGATGCAACTGGGGAAGTAAGGGTGCGCCCAGGAGAATTGATAAGAGGAGGTGTTGGTTGGAGGAGGTAGAACCCTCCAAAAAAAAAAAAAAGAAAAAAAAAGAGAGAGATGCAAACAGGCACGAAATTAGGAAATTGCATCCAATTAGTAGTGATCACTCTTGCAGAAAGCACAAAATGTACAAACTACTACAAAGCACACTTAACACTGAGAGCATCCAGAACATAGTTCCGTCGCGAAAGAGTCCAGATACACAACACGACGAGAAGAAATGAATCTCGTCGTACCACCAACAGGCACCCTGAAAAAAAGAAAAAAGAGAGAGAGAGAGAGATGCAAACAGGCACGAAATTAGGAAATTACATCCAATTAGCAGTGATCACTCTTGCAGAAAGCACAAAATGTACAAACTACTACAAAGCACACTAAGCACTGAGAGCATCCAGAACATAGTTCCGTCGCGAAAGAGTCGAGATACACAACACGACGAGAAGAAATGAATCTCGTCCTACCACCAACAGGCACCCTGCACAAAAAGAGTCCAGACTCCAGACAGACAACACACTGCAACCAAAAAAAAAANAAAAAAAAACAATACACTGCAAACAGGCAACCAGAACAAACTTAGAAAAGGCAAACCACCAAGGACTGGTGTAGGACTCTAATACAACAGGACATCAACAGAATTAAATAACCAGTAAGAATCGACGTGACAGGGAAGGGGATGTAAGCGGAGAGGTTTTGCGGCTTTCTCCTACTCTTTCTTGTGAATCTGGTCAGTGAGAATTCGGGAATTGGGGCGCTCAGATAACCATTTCTATCCCAGAACAGACCCTGTAGCTAAGTGAGTCCCAAAAGGTGCAGAGTGGGTTAGCAGCTATCTTTTAGTCTTGCCTATAATTTGGTCTTTTTTTTCAGTTTTTTTTTTTTTCTTCTCAAAACCATTTCTTGATTTATGTGTGTCATCCTTGCGCAGGGGCCGTGCTAATCTTCTCTGTATCGTTCCAATTTTAACGGATGTCCCAAAGGACACCTATAATTTGGTCTTTAAAAACAGTGAAAATTCAAAATTGGGGGGTCAAAAAAAGACCGGAGTGGCAATCCTACATGAGTGTGGAGGAAGGGGAGGGGAGGGGAGATGGGAGATGGGAGGAGGCTACAAAGAATAAGGAGATGTAAGGGGAGAGAGAAATGGGAGAAGGGAGGGTTAGCAATCTCAGGGATGGAAAGCTAAGGGGAGGGAGCTTGCAAATCAGCAGACAAGAGGTATAGGCCGGAGAAAAAGTGGGAACGACAGGGAGGGTGGGAGAGAACTGAAGGGACCATGTCCATGTGGCTGAAAGGTATATACATATGTAACTAACTGTGTTGCTAAAAACAGCATGAGTTTGAATCCTGATGAAGTCAGTCTTAGTCAGATGACACAATCATCAACTTGGGGATTATAATGCCCTTAAATTAATAAATTCACAAAAGAAATGAGAGAGGAAACTGGATGGAAGGGAAGACGGTAGGAGAAAGCTGGAGGAAAGCGTAGACAGTGGAGGGAGAGTGGAAGGAGAGTGGAAGGAGTTAGGCGTAGGTACCTCTAAAAGCTTTGGCTGCATGTTCTCGTCCAACATAACATCGCAGCCGTAGATTGCTCTTGCATATTCACAGTGCATGTCAGGCTGAACCATAGCTGCTCCTTCAAACACTTCGCGAAACATCGCCTTCACGCGCTCATCGATATCCGCCCATGAAACTGCAAGCCATCAAATTTTTCGCATCAAATTCATTTCCTGAATATTTGATTTTTTTTCTTTTCCCTTTTTAAGCTTGAGAGTGGGGTCCTCAGATTTGCAAAAACCATTGTCGCTGCAAGCTTTTATGACAACAAGGACTGAATCAAAAACCCTTAACTAACGTACATCTCAGAGAGAGATAGATGTCTAGAAATTTGTAATTAGCGGATGAAAAACTCCGCACTAAAAAAAAAAAAAAAAAAAAAAAAAAAAAAAAAAAAACTTAAATCACTCGACCTCTAAAAGTGCCAACCCATTGCTGACTGCCCCTTCTTCACATCTTATGGGGTTCTTCTTACACACTCGGACTTTTGTGGCATGAATCTGACTTCCATGACGACCATATCCAGTCTGAAAAGCTCCTGCCTTCTTGACCCAAAAACAATGCATGTACATGGCCAGCGCATGCTGTTCATTAACAGTTCACTCCCATTGCTGACTGGCCCTTCTTAACATCTTATGGGGTTCTTCTTTCACACACTTGTGGCATGTACGTGGCTTCCATAACAACCATATTCAGTCCGAAAAAGTCCCATCTCCTTAACCCGCAAACAATGTAGAAACAAGGCCAGTGCATGCTGTTAATTAACGGTTAACTAACTGCTAACATGATTACTACAGTCACACAGTTCCTCAGACTGTCACACACTATGCCAAACTTTGCCACACACAAACGGCGACACTGGGACACACTGCGAATGTGACAACCAGGGCATGCCCCGCTCGTGCTGTGCTCCAGCCAAGAAGGCATGAACCTGGTTACTTATACGAATAGGTTCCGGCTTTCTAAGCACGGTGTCACACCAAATCACATGCCACAACATGACATCAGGACAGGCCCCACAGGTGCTATGCTCCTGCCAAGAAAGCATCAGCCTCACTGGTTATTCGACTAGGTTCATGCTCTAAAAAGAAAGATGGCACCGTTGCAGACTAGTCGTGGTGAGCTGGCGGCATGCCGGTTGTCGGACACAGGAGTCATTTCCCTCAGCCTCCAGGCAGCCGTTGTCAAGTCCAGGAAATCCTTACACCGAACAAGACAGCCGCTCAACCGAAGGACGACCATAGTAAAGGGTGTCATCCCTCTCAAGCCTCCAGCTGACCGTTGTTGGTTCCATGAAATATTTTATTTAGGACAAACATAGTCGAGGCATACTACTTCCCGTTGAAGAGAGTGCAGAAAGGAAGACAAAACTTGCACATTAACTCACTAATGCCAGCGTCGCCAGTTGGGTATAAAGTACTACAAACTCACTAAGGGCATACTCGCACTACCGTCTTCCCCCAAATAGAACACCTGGTCATTGTAGCTGTGTCTTTGGCGCAACGTAGAGCCCAGATACGGCAACAATTACCGGGCGTTCTATTCCGGTGAGGACGGTAGGACTTTTTCAGTTCTCTGTGGACATAATTGCGGTCAGGTGCATCCAGGCCGGGTTGGAAAAGCAGTCATATACATCCAGGAAAGTCCTTGTATGAGTATGCCCCAAGTGTAACTCTAAATGTGATATGAGATACCTGTCTCTGACTTACAGCTAAGATCAAGTCTAACCTCTGATTTAAAAAAAGGAAAAAAAAAAAGGTTTAATAATATTTATTCCGCTGAAAAAAAAGAGGAGAGAAAAGGCGTAGTGTACAGCTAAGATCAAGTCTAACCTCTGATTAAAAAAAAGGAAAAAAAAAAGGTTTAATAATATTTATTCCGCTGAAAAAAAAGAGGAGAGAAAAGGCGTAGTGTATCCCTCTAAAATTGTGACCAACGGGTCTAGCTCAGTTGGTACACCCCTGAACTGTTGAAATTGCGACAACCCTGGTTAGATGCTGTGGTTAAAAGGGCGACAGCTTTGAGATATAATCATTTGAATGGACCAGCCCCAGGTAATTCAGAATCATTTCATTGCATTCTCCTAAGTCCATCAGGATTCGAACTTGGGACTGTAAGTTCGAATCCTGATGGACCTAGGAGAATGCAATGAAATGATTCTGAATTACCTGGGGCCGGTCCATTCAATGATTATATCTCAAAGCCGTCGCCCTTTTACAAAAAAAAACAAAAAAAAAACAAAAAAGGTAAACTGATGGCCGAACCATAACCACAGCATCTAACCAGGGTTGTCGCAACATCAACAGATTCAACACCTACCGTCTTCAGACTCTTCACTCGAATAGAACACCCAGTCATTATATCTGCATTTGGCCCAACTTTCAGTCCAGATGTGGCGATAATGACAGGGCGTTCTATTCGGGTGAAGACGGTAGTGCCATGCGGAAGCAGAAAAGGCACGAGGTGGTTAATCCGTGTCCCTCACCTCCATGCTCTTTCTCAAACTCCGAGACGAACTCGTTCGTATTCACATGGTTCAATCCGCTGACGTAATTCTGCAAGAAGCCAAAACAAACGACAAAAAAGTTGAAGAAAACAGATAAGACGCATGAGTGTCACGATTGGCCGGGGGTGGGAGGTCTTGGGA